CAAATAGCTACACTTTTTTGGTTCCACTGTATTGGAACATAATATTAACCATTTTGAAGATTTAGGGTGAGTTGTAGATATTCTTATTGACTTGTAAATCTTTTGTACATGGGCGGCGCTCCCTTGACGCCTCATATCAATATATTTTCTACACTTCTCTTTCCAAAAAAATACAACCACTAGTAAGGCTACTAGATTGAAAATCCAAAATTTTAATAGATCTTTTTTGTTGAGCACTATATTGATCGAGTTCATAATAATACCAATTAACAACTTAAACATTCTAAGTATCACTAACTTAAAGTCGAAAAAGCTTATTTAACAAGAAATTTATTAAAATTTCAGGTTAAAAAATTAATTCAAAATAAACTGCACCTTTCAGCTTTTCACATAACTAGATAAGCTGTTACAAGGTTTTACAAGCACTTCATTGCATTTTCTAAGTCCATATTAGCTTCAATTCTTTAAAAAAAAAAGTAAGTAAAGGGATACTTAACATGTTTAAGAACGGGGGAAAAGAAAGACGTACAAGGGAAAGAATAACATAAACATATGCAGCATAGCTAAGGTCTTGTAAACATGAAATGTAAACAAGAAAATTAACTAACCATGCATGCAGGCTAGGATCTTGCTAAGATCGCTGGTAGGCGTCACCAAAACGCGAACCCCTTTCCCTGCCATCGTTAGAACCCCAACTGTATTCTCTGGATTCGACTGTATAAAATTCCCACACGTATTAATCCAAAACGTCACATCACAAACACAAAAAACGACCCAAAAAATTAGCTATCCAAAGCGAACTAAAATCCCAAGTAATTTTCAGTATCAACGAAAGCTGTAAATCCACTGCCAAAACAGAATGTAAATGAACTATCTGAAAGCCTGCTTGCTTAAACAGCGAGGCAAAAAAAATCAAAGCGTGAAAACTTAAAATCCAGCCAAACTAATATCCACCTCTCGAGTTCCCAAACTTCTCCATTTCTTCCAAACCAAACAAAAAATACATGTAAAAAGAAAAACAATCAGTGAAAATCACTTACCTGTGTCTTAGCTCCGCATATAAGATTAACAGCGTCGGCTTGAGCTTGGAATCTAGAAGGAGCATAGTCTCCGTTTCGCATCCATTCTGAATTATCGATACAAATCATTGTCGCCTAACACAAACAAAAAATTAAAAATGAAAATCTACACATGAATTTGATTATTATAATTGGCCCCGTAATTTGCAGATTAGGGTTTACCTCGAGCACCATGATTGAAAAGAAGTGAAGGATCGAGAAGAAGGTTTTGGGTTGAGGAAGGAAGCCTAGAATGAGCTTTAACAAAATTTGGGGTTTGCTTGCACAAGAGGTCTCCCACTTTAAAACTGCGGGGATTGGAATCGGGTGCGGTCGCGATCGTTACCACGGTCTAATTTATGTCGAACTGTTCTGCTAGCGCAAATGAGACGGCGAGCGAGGCTTGGCGATACTTATTGTGCTAACAATTTTGCAAGAGAAAAAAATTAAAAAAGAAATTTAATATTAAAATATTTTTGTTAATATTAAAATGATCAAGAAAACACTAAAATAATATTATATCAGTGTGTTAAATTTAATCATAGTAAATTTCTTATTTACCACTGTAATTATTCAATTATTTCAATTCGTATTGATATATATCGTAATAATATTATAATATATGTTTTCTTTTTATATTAAAAAAATTCAATCTTATGATTATTTCAATTAAAAATATTTAATCGTTATAGAATATTTTTTTCATTCAAAAACATAATATGTTCGGTAAAATTTGATCATATTATTACATATTTTAGGTTATTAATATGTTTTAACATATAGTATTTTTAGAAATTTTTTAAATTTTATTATTATTAAAGATCTTTTTTAAAATTATTATATAGTATTTAATTAATATTTTATAATTAATTATTCATAATTTTATTTAATAAATACACGAAATAATATTTAACATTTAATTAATTATTGTAAAATAATATCAAGTAATTATTAACTAATTGTTATTTAATTTAATGATTAATATGTTTATTTTTTAATAAAAAATTATGAATTCAAATAATAATATACTCTCGTATGTATTTTTATTTAAAAATTAATTATTTAATATTGTGATTTATCTTACCTTACCTTTTCCTTTCATTGGGGACTTAATTGTATCCCTGGACAGGCCTATTCTAGGTAGTGACTGATAAATTATAGCACACATGAAAACAACATATCAGAGAAAGAGAGAAATAATCACTCGGTCCAGTATCCAAACTAAAGACGGTTGCTGTTTAACCTGTTGTAGCTGAATATTGGAAATAGTAGTAGTACAAACTGTTAGATAATACAATCATCATGACTTGAATTCTCTCCGTCCTTGTTTATATCGTCTGAATTCTCCATGCTGTGGTTATCATGACTCGGATCTGTATCAATATGCCTGAGACCTGAATTCTGCTTGTCATGGTCTTCAACTGGGTTATCATTGACTGTAGAAAGTTCCATTTTTGGATCATGTGATGTTGAAGCAGCTTGTTGCAGGACTGACAAATCTTCCTCCATTGAAGGGCTGTCTCCCTTGACGCTCGAATCTGGAGGTGTAATTGATATCTCTTTTAAGAGTGCAAGAGATGAGCCAACATGCCTTGAACTTCTCTTTGCATTTACTCTCTTCTGCCACTTGGAGAGTGAATCCCTTACATTTTCTGAAATCACTGATTTCTTGAACTTTGATCCCATCTATATTTGCATCTGAAGTCAGATGGATACAAACGCATGATATTTATGTGGAATCTATAAGGGATGAAATAGAAAACTGAACCTGTGTAACTATAACATAGAGGGGAAATGTGATGTAGCTACACCATATCTGGGTGATGACCCTGAAAAGGTAAACAAATCATAAGAAGATGAACTGCCTGTACTTGATCAGATTCTTGATCCAAGCATGACATATCTGCCATGAGAATCTTCAACAAAGAGAGACAAATAAACATTTGGCATATGAAGATTAAGATGCAAAATGCTTTGACCATGATATACCCGAATGTCAAGCGGATTGCAACAGAGATACGGTCTTCCATAAAGCATGAGGAATCCCTGATTTCCCACTGGAAAGAAAATTCAATGTTAGCCCCAAATGTAACCATTACAATTTAAAAATGACTTGTGTCGTGAGAAAAAAATTGGCTATATATTTGAATCCGGTCAAAGGTAACTGAGCGTCCCATGATACTATTCTTTGCGTTTATATTCAACAAGCTTTATAAAATGCATCTTACCATAGACCAAACAAATGTTGCCATCTCAAATGCATTCTGCAAATTAATACCCACATGTTAACAGATGGTAGATTCTCCAGTGGAATTCTAAAACAGCAAAAGGATGTAGTAGCTTGTGAACCTGAAATGATATCAGTTGAATCAACCATAAAAGAAGTTGAGGCTTTCCAAACCAAAACAGACTGTCCCTCAGATTAAACTGATGAAGTCCCATCCATGGATATTGATCCATAGTTTCAACAGCTAACTTTACAACCACCCGGTGAAGTTTCATGCCAATTAATAATATCAACTACCATATACACAAGATGAGTTAAAGTGAGTGAAATGTAGCTGTTGGTAATGATAACCCAGATAAGGAAAACCTGAAATGATAAGGACTTACAATGGCAGGAACAAAAGAAAGCCAAAAGTAGGCATCAGTTCCTGAATGAACATCACAGCTTCAGTCTTCAAGGTCAAAGTTAAAAAAGTAATAAAGCAAGCAAGTATTTCATAACTGAACACAGATAGTCTGAATTTTATTTTATTTTATTTTATTTTTTTCACTTTCGTCAGTTGCCTGAATCTATCTTGACAGGATTTGCAGCTACAGAATCTCAGGGCAGGAGAATTACCATGAAACTCAAGGAAAATGCAAAGTATGGCATAAACCCAGAGAGGCACACTGCAAAAGAGGCCAAAACAGAGTGATCAAATTCTTCTACTTTATGCCATCTACAAAGAACACATTTCATACCAGGTACACAGGCTCGTAAATGTTCTATATTGTAAGGGAGGCTTAGAGTTGAGGTCATGAAATAAATAAACTAAGACAATTGTACTACTTGGATCAATAACTTATAAGAGTGGGTACCTAATTCCAACAATATCACGGAATTCTTCCTCCATGCTTCGAAGCATATAACTGTGAAAATCATATGTAGATGGGAGCTGATGAGCCTGCAGAAAATAGAAAATGAAAAAGATTGATTAATATGAAGAAGTGAGAACCGAAAATTTGCAACCAAAAAATCCTGATAGATGACTATGGTACACAAAAGTCTGTATAGCCAGAAAGAACATACAGTAATGAAGCCTAAGCGCAAAGCTAAATAGTCCGCTTGGTTAATTGAACTCCAGAATTGGCGGCTGAAACAGAGCTGCAAATCAATAATCTTCTGAATTGGAAATCACTCAGACAAATGTTGTACAAAGTCCAAGGTAACAGAATGCTAAGAATGGAAAGGTTTTTTTTTTTTTTTTTTCCTTTTCCCGATTAATTAAGTACAGCATAGAAGTAATCTGCTGAGATGATTTAGAAGGCATAGAAAGGAGAAAGCTTGCAGCCAAACCATGGTACAGGAAAAAAAATTACAAGTAGTGGTTGAACTTTTTTAACTGTATTCTTAAAGTCCAAGACAATATAATGTGATTTTCTCATTAAATCATCATGAATAAACCTTGAGCAACATAACCTTCTATTCTTATTAGCAGGTGGCACGTGCACCTTGCATACATGCACTACAAATAGAGTAATTTGCTAAATGATTATCCATGATCTGGTTTACATCGTAAATCAACAAATTTCTACTTTGATCCAAAGAATAATTTCTTAGGAAAACGATGGGCATAACATAAGCATATTTATGCATAAAAAAACCAGGAAGAAGTTAGTTTTCAAGCAGAAAACATTTACCAGCCAAACAAGAACTTTGCACCTGCTCCATGGATGGGACACATTATGAAGAATGAAAGTGGTCGGTCGCCTCATTTTCATATTGTGTGATGTAGCTTGCTGGTTATCTATATTTGAAGTTCAAATCAGTATAAGTGAGAAAAAGATTTGTGTTATATGCAAAACAACTCTCCTCGAGGCTTTGACAGCAAATTTAAAGGCCTATGTCTAAAATTTTGCACCTTGTATATTAGCAATAGCCATTGACTTGGCTTGGTTTTCCCATGTTCTCCAGCTATAGATCTGAGCAAATCAAATATAAAGAACTCAGTGAGATCTTCACAGACAATAATGTGCCCCCAAGGACATGTTTATGGAGAAGATATATGGACCTTAATCATGGCCAAGACAATGGCGATAAAACTGTAAGAAACATGGATAATGCCAAGGACAAACATGAAACGATGAAGTTGCTCGAGACTCTCTCTCGAAGCAAATGATTCATGACCCTGCTGGCAATGCAAATACAAGAAAGACTTCAGGAAGATAACAGAACTATATTTTTACAAACACAAAGTAAGCAAAAGCCAACATCCATGAAAACCATTACCTTAGGGCAGTAATCATGTCTCTTATTGCTCATTTCCTCTTCTCTAACAACTGTGTTATTAATAAGCAGCTCTAAACTTGAAACAAAAGTGTATTTTCTGGAGCCATTATTTAAGGAACAAGGATAAAACCGGGTGCTTAAGGCTGTTGATTTAACACATAGCTTAGCCACATATCCAATCCAATGACCCATCAGCAATGACATTAGCCCAAAAAGCATCAACTCTGCTTGCATGTAAACCACCACAGACTTCAATCAAAATCCATCTTAATTCTTATGATCTTATCCTTCGCCCATCCGAATATATATATACATACATATAATAAGCAAACTGATGCGTGGAAACCCAATTGCTTACCTTCTTTAATCTTCTGCAGAGCAGCTAATAGAGGTTTCCTCTTGGTCTTATCTAACCACTAAACATACCCATATATAAAATCATAAACTAGATCAGGCTTTGGGATTAATATAGAACTAACTAAAGAAGTTATCAATCCCCTTTTTACCTTCCTTAATCGTTTCAAAGAAGCATGGAAGAAAAGCCCTACAATAACCATGAGACCAACCACCGTAGCCACCGCCCAAGTGGGCGTCTCGGTCAGGGCTCGCCCCTCCATTTCTCTGAAGGCACTGAATCACACCAGCCTCAACTCTTAAGCATATATGGAGTCGTAGACACTCGACGGTTGAAACATAATCAAGACCCGGTTCTTCTTCTGTTGATTCTGGTGAAGAGAGACAAGCTGCAGGCCATTAATGGCGACGTTTTTGGGTGGTGGGATCTGGTTGTGCCATAACCTGAAACATTTAAGAAGACGTGCAGAATGAAATTGTCGGAAACATGGTCGGGCTCCTAACGACNNGTTTTAAACTGAACCCTCCCATTATTGAAAGGTAGAAGATCGGGTAGAAACTAATTTTAAAATTTAAATAATATTTTATAATAATATCTATCTTATTTATTTTATATTTTTAATAACATGTTTATTATTATTATTTAAAAAAAATCAACAACTTAACTTACAAAATATTTCTTTCACCTGAAGATGTAATACATTTACTGTCATTTAACTCAACTTGATCGTATAATTGTTTATTATTATAAACTTGAATCTAAAATACAAAATGAAGTTTATTATGACACTATCCTTACAATTTATATAAACGGAAGATACAAACAGTATGTAATAATCATGGTGATTTTGTAGCAACCGACTGATCTTCCTTTAGCTGATCTTGTTTCACAGACAATCCATGCTTCACCCAGTCCAGATACCCTCCTTTCATGTCCCTTACATTCTTGAAACCCTGCAATTGCATGCACAGTGATCAAGTATAAAAAGATACCAAGTGTGTTTTATTGATTACATCAACGTGCTATTTATAATTTTACTTTGTTTTTAGAACCTTGAACGTAACCAACCCATTCAGGCATGAAAGATATATGAACAGGTACAGTCCCAACTTTTATGTCATCTTGTTCAGCTAAACAGTACGAATGTATAATATAATTTCAATATGAAATAATTAATCTCAAAAAGAAATGCCTTACAGCGGCAACAAGATCAGTAGAAGCAGCCCGGGATCTGACTCCACTTTGACATCCCTGCAAATGAAAACACAAACAGAGAGATTCCGTTTCATAGTCAATTTCAATAACTTATTGAAATAATTAAGTAATAAACAAGAATTTTTAATACAAATATATATATATATATATGTGTGGAGAAGATAAATTATATATTACCACAAGTAGTTTATCGTTTTCCGTGAAGACAGATGAGATGTTGTTCAAGAAATCAGGATTCGTCTCCCTACCTCCTGACGCACAAAAAATATCTGTCAGTCACCTACACTTGTATTAATTCTCGGACAATCATCAACAGAAGAAATGGAAATTATTAAACGGTGAATGAGTCCGATGCAGAACTGTATAAGTGTATACGCAAATTCCAGTACATGTTCTTGAATCTAACCGATGTGGGCGGGACATATATTCCTTAATACATCTCATGCAGAGGGTATGCATTAAAGTAAAAGCAGAAAATAAAAGGTAAAATAATACCTCCAGGTTTATCAAACATGTAAGGAATGTTGTATATCTTCTCTAAATCAACATGTCCTTTCTTGTATTCTTCCTCTGTCCTGTTTTTAAGAAATTCCATATTCATTCAGATGATCAAATAGCAACCAAACCCAGAAAAGGAAAACCCTTAAAACCCAGAAGATAAAATTAGATATCGATGAGTAATTAACTCTAAAATCTTTGCTCAGTAAGAGAGAGAGAGAGAGAGAGAGAGAAATGAAAAGTCATCTTTTACCTGATATCAAGATAAGTGAAGCCTGAACCAAGCAGAGACTTGGCTTCGAGGACATCAACGGTGACAACTTCTGATCCCAAGCTGAAAGAGACAAAAAGAAGAAGAGGAAGAAACAAGGATCCAGAAAAAAACACAACCCGGGAAACACCCATTTCAAGTTATGCAGGAAAAGAACTGTTCCGCTGCTATAAATATTTTACTCGCTCTCTCTGTGTACACATATATGTGATATACACATGTATATATATGTATATGAAAGAGAAGATAGAGCCACCTTTTATCTACAGAACCCATGAAGAAGAACTGGTATTTACGTATGGAAAACTATCTTTATCTGCGGTTTTCCAGATTTGGTGAGCTACTTCCCTGGTTTTGACTGAATTAGCAGCTGAATTGCAGTACAGATCTGTGAGCTGCCAAAAAGCAATAGCTAGCTGCAGTTATTCCATTTCTGTGGGAAGATACAAAAACAATGTACAGCTAAATTGCTACGAGTAGACATCAACTGTTAGCCATCATTTTCGAATATATAATAATACCATCGGACCCAGATGAGTTACGTATTACCTACCCCATCTCCATTGTTAGCTATAGCTTTATCTTATCACATTGGAATATATTATTGTAAATATTCTCCTGTGTTTTTAGGTTGATCATTTTTGGTTTTATCGGTTCTGAAATTTTAAAACAAACTAACCGAAAGATTTTTTTTTTTAATATTATAATAGTTATAAATATACATAATATATTATATTAAATTTTAAGTATTTCTTGATTTTTTGTTTTAAAGCTAATCTGACAGAGCTTCTTTTCTTGGTTCAGTTTTGAGTTCAGAAGCTTCTTCAGTTCAATTTAGTCTTTCAGAAGTTTTTTCAGTTTAATTTAGTCACTTTTTATGATTAATTTAGTTATTTCAATTTGCAAAATTTTTAAATTGAACCGATCAAAATACTCACGTCTAACCATTGGTGTAGAGAATTACTGTTAATAAATGAAAATTAGCCCAAAAAAAAGGATCACTTTTTCTCAATTAAAACTTAATAAATCGTGTAACCCAACAAAATAAATGTTCATCTTAATTACCTGGTTTGTATTAAATGGAAAGAGATGGATTAAATCAGTTCAGAATCCAACCAATTAAACAGCTAGTTGAGATGACAAGGAATCTGAAACTGAAAGGGAACATGCCCAAACAAGTATATATACACTCAAGTTTCTGCAATTCACATACATGAATAAAAGAGCACAACTAACGAACATTGAAAGTTTCTGCAATTCAGCAATCATATTCAAATGGCTTCCCGGTTACAGGAGAAAAGGTGCCAAACAAGCAATATCAGTAGACGCCACAAGAAGAAATATCATGGACCCGCAACATCTAACCATTTATCATCTAGGTGAATTGTGAAGGAGCTAGTGAACTATGTACAAGGACTTACATATAGGACTATTCCGTTTTGCCCAGACATACCAGGGAGATACCTTGGGGGCTTCATGCCTTCAACTCAAAACAATTGTTAAGCTTCCGTGTGGACATGACATCTGCAACAATCTCAGAACAAAAACTTTATCATGGTTTGCCCAAATCTCCCTTATGGCTATCATATGAACCTGAGGAACAAGAAGCAAAATTCTTCTGAGTATGTGATAAATTGGATATCTCCAATTGGTGGAAAGGAAAGGAAACAAAAGATTTGCGCTACTCTAATTGCTATTCTCTTGAAACCCAAAATTCATTCTCAAGTGAAATATCAAGATAATGACTTATGTTCTTGGCAGGAGTTAGTAAGATCGGACTTTCGCAAACCTATATTGAATTATGAATAGTGGAACTTGTTCAGTCCATTCTTAGCAAGAGCAATTACAAATTCATTTTTGCAAAAGCATCAACTATATACCCAGTGTACAAGAAGCACATGACATCATCCTTTCTGATGAGTGGTTTTAAATCTGGATTCCTCTCTTCACCTGAAAGACGAAAATACAAATTTCATCAGGGATAAATACCTTTCCGTAACAGCATGTTAATTGACACCCAGGTTAACCATGTTTGGAATATGGCTTACAAATTTAAATTTCATTTTAACAGGAAAAGCCAAAAACGTTTGCAGTTTAAAAAATATCCACTTAGCCAATCAAACTACCTCACCAAACGCTAGAAACTAAAGCATGAACTTCAGAGACTAACCTCAGAAAAAGAAGATTTAGTCCTCATATCAAGTTTGCACACTGGGCAGCATGTCCCCCATTTAGTCAACCAAGAGTCTACACAGCTTGAATGAAATGCTGCAAACAAGTGAGAAGTTAATCAACTGAGATTTAGAAATATTACCTGTCAAGACAAAAACTGGACACCAACTGAAATCTAAATTTATATTAAGGTAAGGATATATAAGCCTTTCCAATGGCACATACTGATCTTGATTCATCACTCTATATATATCATTATATATTAAAAACAAGTTCCTATCAACAATCTGAATTTGTCCGTGGACTTGAACATGATACATTTCAGAAATTTCCTAAAGTCACAAGAAATGCTATTTCAGGATCTTCCTTTCCTTGAATATTAATCTATTTTTACTGAGCAGAAAACACATGTGCCTCTTTCTACTTTTTGAATATATATATATATATGTATATATTGCTTTATACATTTTGGATACTTTTGGCACCAAGATTGCACTTGACCTGAAAGGATAACTTGGCCAAACAACCAAGAATGTTAACCATCAATCTGTGCCTTACCATGATGACAAGGGAGGAGCTTAAGGATTTCCCCATCTTTGTAGTCTTCAAGACAAATGGCACAAGTTTCTTCCCTACGGCAATCACTCGAACAAGCAGAGCTAAATGTGACGCGAGGGAGAGTTTCCACCATTGTGTTATCTACACTTTTAGGGCAATGATTTCCCCCTAGCCTATATGGCCAGTGTCTGGGAGCTAAAAACACTATCACTAGCAATCCTACTAGGACAATAAGAGAGAAGAATGATATTGCTAGCACAGTCCAAGCACTTCCACCATGCTGCATATAAATGCAGCATTCCCCATGTTCCTCTTTGGCATGCTTCATCAAAGTTTCGCCTGCTGCCTTAGAAACGAACACTGCATGCACTTTAACACCATGAGGGTTTACCATCACTGCACATAAAATGAACAACACAAATCAAATTAGTTTACTCAAATTCTTTCTTACAGATTATGCCCTGAATTTGGAAAAATATAGCAACAAATTCAAAATTTTGCATTAATCCATGGTGAATATTAACAATTTCATTAAATAAATACCCTAAATTAACAGCACAAAAATTCCAAATGCCATTTTTCTAAAAGAGAAATCAATAAAGGCAACAATAAGAGTTGATGTAAAGGGAAAGAGCAGACTTACTGTATACCAAACTGCTCTTGTCTCTGTCATCATACACAATCACTGTACCAAAACCTGCGTTTTGGGCATTTCGTATTTTATCTTCAAAGGAGCACTCGCCCCTAACTATCAACGCGAACTTGACTTGCTGCTCCGTCTTGTTAGATACGGCGTCGTTTCTTAATCGAGAGCAAGCATTAAGAGGATCCGCCGCATGCAGAACTCCACATACGCCGGAGCTATTTATAGCAACAGCTAAAAACAATTTACCAAAGCTTAGTCATAAATTATGTTTTCGAATTGCGCCTACATACTTAACTGTACTTCAAATTTCTTTCATTTTCCTTGCTCTTGTAGAAGAAACATAAAAAATTTCCTTAGTTTTCATTTTCTGCAACATTGTTACATTTTCTTAGCTGCCAAACAGAAAATGAAAGAGAAAGTGAAAGACAGTTACCGAATTTGGCGGGAAGGTCGAGGAAAGAACCGGAGAACTGCTTTAAGAAGACGGTAGCAAAAGTTAATTGAATCGCAGAACTAAGTAATACTACTAAAAATCCACATAAAGCTCCTCTCATGCCTCTCTCTCTCTCTCTCTCTCTCTCTCTCTCTCTCTCTCTCTCTCTTCTGTGTCGGTTCAGATTTCTGGCGGACGATTCGAGCAAAGATGCTTGTTGCAGAAGCGGCCATCGGGGAACAAAAACGGTGCGTTTTGTATCGTCAAAGTCAAACCCGAAGGCTTTTTTAAAGATAAAACAATACGGCGGCGTTTCACCACAGAACTGTGTTAGCACCCCAGAGCTCCCTGGGTTAGTGAGGTTCCTGCAATTCTCTGTGAGGGTTGGCTGCTTCTTCCTAATCTTCTACTTGTTCTGTGATTTGGCGATTTTACTCGTTGGCGATGGAGGAAAACTCGAAGTTGCCATTGCCAGAAGCGTTCCTCAATTTCCTTAAAGTGAATGGAATTGACCCTTCGATTTATACGGCGAGCGATACTGTACCTCGTTACATAAGGTACCCGAGAAAAGTACTTCCTAGTTTTTATGATTCTGTTGATTTCGTTCTCTTCTGTAAGGTTTTAATTTTTTGGAGTTTTCTGTTAGCTTTTGTAAGTGAAATTTTAACACTTGCAATTTATCGGTATCTTCTGTTTTGGTTAAGGTTGAAACCTGGGAATGAAGCTTTTATAGGAGAAATTGAAGCCGAGATCAAGTGTAAGCTTGAAAAAGTTGATTGGTTGGCTGGTTTTCATTCTCTTCCTCCTGATATTCAGATTGCTAACTCTACAGCATACCAGCAAGGACAGGTTAGGATGAAGAGAACTTTCAAGACACTGCTGTTATACTCATGTTGGTATTGTGATTAACTTGGAAATTTTTGTTTTGGGATAAGTTGACTGGGAAATTATAAGAACCTCTCGTCATGATATCGTCTTTTTCCTTGCAACCTTGGAGCTTTTTATATACTTAAGTAGAATCACACGGTTGTTGGAGTTGTTGCATTTTTTTATCTCTTTGGTGTTTGTTCTTCCTAATTCTGAAAGTTGGTGGAAGTTGATACTGATATTGGATTTTTCATGCATAAGACTTAAAGGTTCTGTTGGTTTTTGTGTCTTCTGCGGATGTGTATTGCATTCATTTGCTTTCGTATGTCATGTTCGTGTTTTTGGTCTTACAGATTTATGGAATTGATGCTGCTTCTGGAGCTGCTGTTTCTGCTTTGGATATCTCACAAGGAGATCATGTCCTTGATCTGTGCGCTGCTCCTGGTGAATAATCTTGTCTTTAACATAGCGTATAAGTTAATCAATTCTTTTTTCCCACTATGGCTTATTAACTGACATGATTTCAAGTTGTAATTTCACTGATTGCTATAACATCTATGTATACAGGGGCTAAACTTTGTATGATACTGGATCTTCTTGGTGATTCGGGTTCTGTAACTGGTGTTGATATTGCAAGACACCGGTTAGCAGCCACTAGAACTATGCTGCAGAAGTATGGGCTTGGTGAGCGGTGCCGACTTTTTGTTGCTGACGGAACCATGTTTTCTCTTGTCCCTGTTAACTTACAATCACCGCTGATATCATGTAAATGTCATCAACCCAGTTAAGAGTTTTGAGATATAACTCATTCAGCCATTGAAGATTTCTATTAGTTGCCGTCAGCCCATTTTTAATGTGTTATCATTCCATCTAGTGTTCTACAGTTGAATCTGCTTCAGAGGATAAGAACAATATATTTGTGGAATGGACTTCAAGGAGACCGTGGAAAGAAAGGAAAAAAGCAGCTAAATTGAGGAAAAATATGGCTTCAAAATCGGTTACAGCAAATAAACATCCTGAACTCATTTTTTATGGGCAGCATTCTGGAGTAGTGGGCCTCAGAAAAAGTGAACTATTTGATGCTGTTTATAGCACTGAAATTTCGCATCGTGGCTATGACAAGGTGAAGATGCGTTTCTCCTTATTTGCACGGACCAATGTGTTTTCTCTAGGATTTCTTTGAAAATAATTTTTCCTCGTCTTGAATTTAAGCATGACTGCTATTCAACTTGGTTCTGCTGAAGTAGACCCCTTTTCCTCTTACTGATTGAAACTCAATTCAGGTCCTGGTGGACGCAGAGTGCACCCATGATGGGTCAATTAGACATATCCAAAAATTTGAGCACTGGGGTTGGACAACTCTCCAACGTCGTGTATTGGATGCAGAGAGAACTGACAGAAGCTTAACCACTCTTCAGGTAACTGTTAATTGATTCATTCTTTTAATATGTACTAGGCAAATTTGTCATTTATGCTGCTATCTGGAATTTCATTCAAAGAAGTTGAATTTTCAAACGAGGGAACATACATGTAGAGCTTAGAAGAAGCTTATCCATCAATGAATCACCCATTTATCCTTGTGATTTGCATCATTATTTTGTATCCACTACACACAAGATGAGATATGTTGTTTCCCCTACAAATTTATGCTTTATCATCTTGCTGGATGATTCTCTGCCACCCCTCGGTGAATAACTTGGCTTCATGGGCAGTTCTTTCCGACCTCTTAACGATAAATTTCTTTGTTTGCAGTTGAAACTCCTAACAAATGGTTTCAGATTGCTTAGACCTGGTGGGTCACTTGTGTACAGCACTTGCAGGTGCAGCCTATTGACATCTCTTGTGTTTTATCAAACACACAGACGCAAGCAGATACACATTTGAATACATGCATGATCATGTCTTCTTATTTATATCTTTTTGGTTAATTAGTCTTACAGTTGCTCAGAATGAAGATGTGGTAGAGCAGTTTCTCAAAGGAAATCCTTCTGCAGGTGGGTTGCCCTGTGGTCTGGAATGTAATTGTGGAATATCTTTAAGTAAATAATTGTTTAATGTTTATACTACTTCCGAAAGTTTTATTTCAAAAAAAAAAAAAAATAGTACTTCCTACATTGTAAATTATAATTATATGTCCACATATCACTCTTTAAATTGCGGATGGTTTTGTTGATTCCACTATTTCCTTGAATTTCTGGGTCAATGAATGACTTCATTTATCATCTTTGCATCATCCTTTATTGATATTACTTTATCTTGTCTGGCAGAGTTGCAGGACATAGATGCAGCGAAAGATTGGCCTTGTAAGAAAGGGAAGATACCAAAGACATGGCGGTTTGATCCCCTAACATCACAAACTAGCGGACTTTTTGTAGCAAAATTCAGAAAATTGCCAGTTGAACCAAGGTAGATTCCACCTAATAACTAAAGGTTTTTGCAGTAATGATGACTAATCTGTGTGAAATATAAACTATGTTGTTTTAATTCTCTGTGTGTGTGGAAAAACATAAGATGCACCTTTTCAGGCTTTGTTCTCTGAAGAGGATTTCCCTCCAGTAGGTTTTGAGTTATAGTTGCCTGTTTGTATCGTTTATATATATTGTTGTGATGTTGCAGTCCTCCGTGATGGTGTATGCGAAGACCCATCTATTCCAGCCACTTGACACTAGAGATCCCATCAGACATTTAACATCATTCAAATCTTAGCAGTTGTCCTAAGTATGTCATCTCTGTTTTCTCTCCAATTTCTTCAAAGAGTTACATTTTCATTCTGATGTCCTTAATATGTGTGTGTGTGTGCGCGCGCAGACACACACATCATTTTGCAGAAACGTCATGTACCTCTAAGCGACTAATAGAGGACAAAAGATAAATTATAAGTGGGTTGAATACCAACTTCAATGACTTCTGTACTCACCTTTCACATGTTTTAACATTTTTTTTTTTAATTCACGAAGGATCTAACAATTAATTATGAAGTTGCGTTTGGGTTATTCTCATTTTATATGAATCAAATCTTTATATTAGTATTACAAGGACTATGAACATTATGAAAAGAAACAGGGTTGAAAAATAAATGTAAAATTGAAAATTGAGTTTTTGAACAAAAAATATATATATATTTTGTAAGGACAAAATTTCTTTAATTGAGTAATAATAACATGTTAAAAATCTTACTTAATTTTTTATTTTATTTTTTTAAAAAAAAATATATATATATATATATATATATAAACTTTGTTTGAAAATTTGAAATTTACTCAGTTCATATTCTAAATATGAAAATGTCTGTTTATAAATGAATATTTTAATAGGAATCAAACATTTATAACAGACAAAAACCTTAATGTAGGTTTTTCAGGAACAAGCTTAGTCCGATTCTCAGAAAAAAACAAAAAAACAAAAAAAAAAACAAGAACAACCTTAATCCAAGTTCATACTAAGGTAATCCTAAAGCCAAGTTTGATCTTGATTAAGAAATATCATAATCAACTAACTATTGTTTAACAACTATACATAAATCTGTATTCACCTTTTCATCACACGCCCACTTGTCTATGGGCTTGCAAACCCTCCTTTCTCTTCGGTCTACGTCTGTTTCTCCCTAACTGACAGAGCAGGCAAAAATTTTCAGAGATGATCGCCACTGCTGCATGTGATGATATAACAGCTCCTCTTGGTAAGAATTTTGGGTCTCTGCCATCCTCTCTTTACATTTCCCTCTCTTTCTCTCCCACTTTCCACCTCCCCAAACACTAAACTCACTTCTTTATTTTCCCCATGCAGTTCACAACTCGGGTGCAGCATCTGGTTCGAGCACGCCATCACAGTGAGTTCAAGATGACTTGCCGGTTGAGCAAGTGGCACTTACGGTGCCCGCCACAAACAATCCCCCTCCCTTCCATCCCTCACATTCCGCACATGAGCTCTGGGAAATTTGGCCTACGTCCTCCTCTCATTCCTCAATTAGTTCTTCTGGTCTCGAAGGGCCCCTCATTGTGTCGTCGATAATGGCGCATATTGCGATGGTTCCCAGGATCACATGGTGGATTCGCTGATCAGCGAGAGGGTGTTCTTCGAGGGGTTGAGGTGGGAGTTCACGCTTAATCCGGAACTTTTTAACATGATGGAGCCCGTGCTGATCGCGATATTGGTGGATACCGGCGCCGGGAACGTGTACGCCATCACATCATCAGTACCGTCAAGATATTATATAGAAAGCGGCTGACTTTCCCGGCGGCATTGCTCGTCTTCATAAATCAAACAGTTCTTTTTTTGGTATGAATGTACCTCTACTGATTTCAGAACCACATGCATTACGACCTAAAGCTTGAAGATGAAAGCATTGAAAACGAATTCTCTATTTAAAAAACATATATATATATATATATATTAATATTGAAAACGGATTATTAACGGATTAATAAATTAGCATGGCCAACCTTAAATGTGTCATTCGCTAATATCCAATTACCTATTTCAAAAGTTTCCGGTGCAGCTTCTAGCCCGTTGCTATATGGGCTTGGGGCCCGAAATGTCCGCCGCCGCCGGTGATGATGTCGCCGCTCCTCTCTGTAAGATTTTCGTTTTCTCCTTTTTTTTGGTTCTTTCCACTCTCCTCCTGACAAAACACTACGAATTCTACGAATTCTCTCCTTTTTCCACATCTAGTACGCAGAACAGATAGGGCTTCCATTTCGGCTGAGCCGTCACCGGAAGATGAGGAGAACTCACCGGTCGAGCAAGTGGCACTCACGGTGCAAACAACAGATGATCCGTCCCTCCCATCCCTCACGTTTCGCACATGGGTTCTGGGGAGCCTGGCTTGCGTCCTCCTCTCTTTCGTCAACCAGTTCTTTTGGTACCGCAGGGAGCCACTCTCCATCACATCGATTGCGGCCCAGATCGCGGTGGTTCCGCTGGGCCACTTGATGGCCTCGCTGGTCAGCGCTAGAGTCTTCTTCGAAGGGAAGATATGGGAGTTCAGCCTTAATCCTGGACCTTTCAACGTGAAGGAGCATGTGCTTATTACCATATTGGCAAACGCTGGCGCCGGTAATGTTTACGCTATACACATAGTCAGCGCCATCAAGATCTTTTACAAGAAGCAGTTGACTTTCCCAGCGGCCTTGCTTGTCGTTATAACCACCCAGGTGCTGGGTTTTGGTTGGGCCGGAATTTTTCGGAAGTACCTGGTGGAGCCCGCCACCATGTGGTGGCCTCAGAACCTCGTCCAAGTTTCCCTTTTCAGGTCTGTAAGCTCTAAGCATACTCCTATCGACGTCGTGTCGTATCCGTCTCTTAACTTTACTAATTATCTCTATGTACTGGTTTGATGATGATGATGATGACGACGACAAAATCTTAAAATTACAGAGCATTACATGAGAAAGAGGAGAGGCCCAAGGGTGGATTAACAAGAAACCAGTTTTTCCTCATTGCATTTATTTGTAGCTTTGGTTATTATGCGCTCCCTGGCTACCTCTTCCCAATGTTGACCTCTATGTCATGGATTTGCTGGGTATTCCCTACTTCTGTTATAGCACAACAGTTAGGCTCTGGACTCCATGGATTAGGGGTTGGTGCTATTGGATTTGACTGGTCCAGCATATCCTCTTACCTAGGAAGTCCTCTTGCTAGCCCTTGGTTTGCTACTGCCAATATTGCTGTTGGTTTCGCCCTAGTCACTTATGTCATTACTCCTATTGCTTATTGGTTGAATCTTTTTAAGGCCAGAACTTTCCCCATTTTCTCAGATGGTCTGTTCACATCTACTGGTCAAAAGTACAATATCTCGGCTGTTATAGACTCAAGTTTTCACCTTGACATTCAAGCATATGACCATGAAGGACCACTGTATCTCAGCATCTTCTTTGCTATATACTATGGTGTTGGTTTTGCTTGCCTAACTGCCACTATTTTCCACGTTTTCCTTTTTCATGGAAGGTAGGATGAGCTTTTCCCTGAGAAGATCTTTCTGTTTAGGCTTTATTCAATTAAAATGTTTGTAAGTTGAACTCATTTTTTCAAGGGTATAGAGATATATGGCAGCTAAGTAAGTCTGCATTCCAAGAGAAGAAGGTGGATGTGCATACAAGGCTTATGAGGAGATATAAGCAAGTACCTGAATGGTGGTTCATATGCTTACTTTTGGTGAACATTGCAGCAACTTTGTTTACATGCCAATACTACAATGTTCAACTCCAATTGCCATTGTGGGGCATCTTGCTTGCATGTGGTCTTGCCATGTTCTTCACTCTTCCTGTTGGAGTAATCGCTGCTACAACAAATCAGGTACTTTTCCATGCTCTTTCTAGGATTCTATACTGTGAGGTTATTATTATTATTATTATTATTATTATTATTGGATTTAGGATCCTCTTTCTGTTCCTTGTGGCATTTGTCTATTATTAGCTTCGAGTAAATTCCACTGACATGTAAACTTAAAATCCTTTGGTCACTTTCATGTTTTAACGTAGGATATATTTTCCTTTTTATACACAGACACCAGCTCTGAATGTGATCACAGAGTACATCATGGGGTATATTTATCCAGGATACCCTGTTGCTAACATATGCTTTAAAGTGTATGGATATATAAGTATGAAACAAGGCCTTACATTTTTGCAAGACTTCAAGCTTGGTCATTACATGAAGATTCCCCCTAGGGCCATGTTTGTTGCACAGGTTAGTCTCTGTTGTTACCCTGTTTGCACCTACAATGGAAGGAAAAAACAAAAATGTCAATGTATTTACAACATCTTTCTAATACTTACATATTTTCATCAGGTGGTTGGCACAATTATATCAGCTTTAGTTCATTTAGGAACGACGTGGTGGCTTATGAGCACAATTCCAGACATATGTGATAGAGAATTGCTTCCAGCAGGCAGCCCGTGGACATGCCCTGGTGACCATGTATTCTATGATGCTTCTGTTATATGGGGTTTGATTGGTCCTTATCGAATATTTGGAAAGCTAGGCTAATACTCGTCAATCAATTGGTTCTTTCTAGTTGGGGCTGTTGCACCTATTTTAGTTTTGGTGGCTCAAAAGACCTTTCCAAACAAGCATTGGATTAAACTTATTACTATGCCTGTGCTCCTGGGTGCAACAATCAACATGCCGCCAGCTACTGCTGTCAACTTCACTAGTTGGGTTCTTATTGCGTTCTTCTCAGGCTTCATTGCTTATAGATATTATCGTGAATGGTGGAGTCGCCACAACTATGTGTTATCTGGGGCACTTGATGCTGGATTGGCCTTCATGGCAGTATTGCTATACATGTGCTTGGGGATGAATCATGTTAGCTTTGACTGGTGGGGAACTCACCCTGATGGATGCCCGTTGGCTTCTTGTCCAACTACTACAGGTGTTATAGTTAAAGGCTGCCCAATTTTCTGAGTGGAACAGAAGTAGGTGTTGGATCAAACTTCTAAAATTGTTTTCTTTGAATAATCCTTTGTAGATTTTATAAATAGAAATAATGATGATGTAAGTTACTATATTAAATTGTAAATTACAATGTAATGGTTTTGGATGATTGTTCACTTTATGCATTGTCAGTAAAATTTGAACTGTAATTAAGAAGCAAGATGGATAATCTGCAGTTACATGCACATATACATGATGTTCTTTCTCTGTACTGTAAACGATGAAACTTTGTGCTGAATCAGTTGGGAGAGAGCCAATATTTGGCTATTTCCATTCAATTGACTTCTCAAATTCTTGATGCTTAAAGCTGATGAATCCAGGGGTTCTTGCTGTTTTGGAAGCTGTAATTGATGTTCACTCACTTGAGTTTCTGTGACTTTTCACATAATAGATTGATTATTTCTTTTCCTCTTATCAGCTTGAATATATTATATAATACCACCATATTAGGTTGAAAAATCTATATTTTTAAGTTCAATGATAATCTCTTACCAAACCAGCTTCATCGGGACCCACCATCTGGCGGCTGTTTTTCCATATAATACTATAGCAGTCAGCCAACTGGTAGCAGAATTGTAAAACCAGGGTCTACCCACAATCTTTTAATTCAATTTATTTGGCCACATCCAAGGCAGAACAAAAGAGTATAAATTATATGCTTTTTACCTCCAAAACCCAAAAGCAACCGTTGTTAGAAACTCATTTCCTAGTAGTCTTTTCTTTTAAATGCTTATGATTATGGCTCTCTTCTTGTCATCTTTAACTTCTGCAGGAAAATGGTTAGGATTTGTCACTGCCATTTGGGTTCAAGCAATTTGTGGCAATAACTACACATTTTCTAACTACTCAGATGCGTTGAAGTCTCTAATGGCTCTTACCCAGTTGGAGCTCAATAATCTGTCGGTTGCCAAAGATGTTGGAAAGGCCTTTGGCGTCTTCTCTGGTCTTGCTTCAGATTATTTGCCAACCTCAGTTATACTCATCATTGGATCTCTGGAAGGGCTTATTGGATATGGAGCTCAATGGCTTGTTGTCAGCCAACGAATTTCTCCTCTCCCCTATTGGCAGGTGAGAACTAAGGATTCTATTTTCCAGAATCTATAGAACTCTGTTCATTAATGACGACCAACTTAAATCCCATCTTAGTTAACCAGAATTGCAGAATAATGTTTCTAATTTACAAGATCACATATGTTTTTTATGTGCCAGTTTATTGTCTTACATAATCTCTTCTGTCACAGATGTGTATATTTCTTTGCATGGGGGGCAACAGCACGACATGGATGAACACAGCAGTTCTAGTTACGTGCATGAGAAACTTCCCCAAAAATCGAGGTCCTGTCTCCGGAATCCTCAAGGGTTATGTGGGGCTCAGCACTGCAATCTTCACAGATATCTCTACGGCACTCTTCTCCTCTAACCCCTCACCATTTCTCCTCATGCTTGCACTTATCCCTGCTGTCATTTGCCTCCTTGCTGCACTTTTTCTCCATGAAGCTGCACCAGCTTCAAATCCTCAAGAAGACAAACAAGAATCTCAGTTTTTCCGAATATTCAATGTCATCGCCATCGTTGTAGCCATCTACCTATTAGCCTTTGACATCACTGGAAGCCACGGTCACCTTTTGTCTATGATGTTTGCAGGAGGACTTCTTGTCTTACTGGCTTCTCCATTGATTGTCCCATTTTATGCACTTCTGTATAAATCAAGATCTAGCTCTGATATTGAGCAAGCAATAAAACAACCATTGCTAGTTGATCAAAGAGCTGCAGGGGGACAAGAAGACAAAATAAAGATAGTAAATGAAGATCTCAAAGTGGAGAAAGTTGATCAAACAAAACGGAAACCGTCAATTGGAGAGGATCACACCATTTTTGAAATGATGCAGACACTTGATTTCTGGATTCTGTTCATGTCATTTCTTTGTGGTGTGGGAACAGGAATGTGTGTGATCAATAACATGGCACAGATGGGGTTGGCACTTGGATTCGCTGATGTATCTGTTTTAGTTTCTTTAACCAGCATCTGGGGCTTCTTTGGTCGCATTTTCTCTGGCTTATTATCGGAGTACTACATGAGGTAATACCTATTTCCCCTTCCATCTACTTTTGACTTCCTGCTGCTGATTCCTAAGGACATTTTATATGATTTTGCAGGAAGTATGGAACACCTAGGCTGGTATGGAATGCAGCTTCTGAAATTCTAATGGCTGTAGGATTCATTATCATGGCTTTAGCCTTGCCAGGATCTCTATACATTGGTTCAATTCTAGTAGGCATATGCTATGGAGTCCGCCTGACAATAACAGTGGCAGTTGCCTCAGAACTATTTGGACTCAAATTCTACGGTCTTCTCTACAACATTCTCATCCTTAACCTTCCATTGGGTTCATTCCTCTTCTCTGGTTTGCTTGCCGGATACTTGTATGATGCTCAAGCCACTGCCTCAGGGGATGGAAGTAACACTTGTGTTGGAGCTCATTGTTATTGTCTTGTGTTCTTAATCATGGCTGTTACATGTATTGTTGGGTTTGGATTGGATATGTTATTGACAATTAGAACCAAGAATGTTTATCGCAGGTATCATGCCGATAAGAAGTCTGCTTTTGCTGCAACCGAAGCCATCTTGGAAAAGTCATGACAGGTTGGCTACTCAAAAGTTCAAACTTGGTTCAAGTCTTGGCTGCTTGGTTCTTTTCCTTCTTGTGAGAGGAAAATGGCAGTTCCTGCTTAGGTCTTATAGTGAAGAGTTTTCTATCCATGAATTTCCCTTTTTTTAGGGGAATTTTTTTATACCCGCAATTTTGTTGGATCAACAATGTGAAATGGGTAAATTTAGTTGTAATAGTTTTAGTGGAATGTGTATTTGTAATTGATAAATCTACTTTATCTAAGAACTGTAATTGTTCATCATCCTTTTATGACCTGCAATCCAAAAAAATTTGGTAGAAATATTTTGATTTTTGATTAAAAAAAAAAAAAAAGTAGTTATAAAAATTATTATTACTTTTTATTATAAAAATACTTTTGAGATGTAAAAAGTAAAATCAAAACTTGAGTTTAGATATAATATTTTGTAATTGAACTCACTTCTTTGGATCCAATTCAATATGGTTTCTTGCTGAAGTACGGATTTGTGTTGGTAGGAAAAATAAGGGCGGGTTGAGGCAGGTGTTGGTTTAGTCTTCTAAAATTTGTCTGAACCTATCTCTATATGTATGTATATATATATATATATATTTATATTTATATTATGATGATATATTATATTATTTTAAATACAAATAAATATATTTTTAATTTTTTTAATAATATAAATATAATATAATTATGATAATAAATAAACTAACTATGTGGAGACAAATTCAAATTTATTTCCCATAAAAGATGGATCATGTTCGAATTTGGTAAAACTCGTTCCAGACCCACCTTCATCTCCAGCCCTCTCATTACTGGTTTGATTTTGTTCGGCCGAGCATAACCCACATGACGAGGCTGCCAAACCCGGCTCATGGACTATGTTGTCCAAGCTGAGCTGAACTCGAACCGTACAATTTGGGCCTAGGAGCTTTTGATGGCTCTAGACAATTCTGAAGATGGCAAAATCAGTGTAGGTCCGACCAGTAGTATGAACCGTCTCGCTGTACGTGCCTCCTCGTTTTTTCCATTCCTTGTTTTCGCCACCATTTTCGGAGAAGCAATACACGACGACAAAGCAGCTCGCCGCGAGCAAAAGCAGAAGGAATAAACAATGGAAGCCACCCCAAAACCATCCTCCCTCAGATGGAAGATCCTTCGCCAAGCTCTTCTTCGTAAATCTGGTAACTTCTTTCCTGCTAAAGAAAACGTGACAGTTTTTTCGTTTTCCGTTACTCCATCACTTAATCATGCATACACAATCAGTGATCTTGATCCATGTTAAAAGTTCATGAATCTCTTTCTTTTCACAGATGAGCAGTCTCAAACAGGAATTAAGCGCATTTCGAGGAAGACAGCTCAAGGATTCAACTTGATTCCATGTCAGCTTGTGGACACCGTTCCTTCTTCGTTTTCTTCGAGATTGGAGAGTTCTAAAGACGCCTGTTTTTGTTACACTTTACCCACTGATGGATCCCCCAAGCTTTACCTGACGTGAGCTCGAGTTATTTGTCCTTCGAATTCCGTGGTGCATTTCGTCGAACATGTGCTCAACACTAGAAACTGACCTGTAGCATTGCTCTTCTTAAGTGCATTTTGTGATTCCATAAAGATGTTATTTACAGCTCTTCTTTAAGAAACAATTAGCATGGCACGATTTGGGAACTGATGATCGGTTGCTAAATATGGAAACTTTTGTTTTGCAGGCAAAGAGTTGATAATTGTGCGGAGCTCAGGGATTTCGAGGCCTGTAATCAATACAATATTGACAACACTGGACTTGTCTGTAAGTGATCTTCTCATTCACACTGGCTATGTTGAACAAATCAAGAATTTTGCAAATTTAATTTAGAAATTGACGCCTACATTAGTCAGGAAAGAGAGAAAATTTTATTGTGAATGGATAAAGAATAACTTCATGTAGAATTTCCATTGAAATTCGAACAGTTTATTCTAGATCTCAATAAAATTCAGAGTAAATTGCAACTTTATTTGGAATTCAACTCAAGATTTATCATTTTTAACGGAATTTTCATTGTAGCATAGTTAAATTAGGTGTAAATTTCTAAACAAATTTCACAAAATAAATCATTTGTTTCAAACATAGTGATGCAAAATGAATAGCGCTTAAACTAATTTGTCATTCGGATAATTTAGAAACAGAGGAAATTTGAGTGAAAAACAAAAGAATATAGATAGTCTAGAGAAAATTAAGGATCAAGGCGAAGGAATATAAGGAGAAGTAAGATGAACAAGATAGATTAAAAAAAATAAGAACTCAAGAAAAAAACACAAAAAGACATAGTAGGGAAAAAAACTCAAACAAATTCTTAATTCATCATCGTTTATTCTTTTTGTTTGTAGCTACTAGCCTACATGTAGATACTGATTACAAGTAATATAAAAAAATTACAAAAGAATACAAAAGATTATAATTTTTAATTAAAAACTTCAAGTATGGATAAAAACTGGACTTTCATACCAATTGATGCAGGATGAACAACGATTAAAATAACTTGGTGAGAAAGAAAAGAAGATAGATAGGTAAAAAAGAAACTAGGGATCAAGGTAAACAAATATAGGGAAAGGTAGAACAAATGAGATATATTAGATAAAATGACAACCAGTAGAAACAAATACAATAAAAAGATAATAGGGATAAAACTCAGTCAAAATAATTCTTAATTCATCATCACCTATCCTCTTCTTAAATACGATTAATAAGAAAAATTATAAAAGAGAAAATCTAAAAGATTCTAATTCCTGTAATACTTACTTTTCTTAAATAGGAAACTAAAATGTTATAATGGTAAATAAACCTAAATAAACTAAGTAACTTAAAAATACAAAACAATAATAATATTTATTACGAAAAACAGCTTCTTTAATTGAAAATTTGTTCGAAAGTAATATATTCTTGTCCTGCATCAAATAGCCTAAAAAGCAGGATCTGAATGAGAGAAAGGCCCATTTTCTTGTGTTTTATAGTTTTTATGAGCTACAAGTCTTTGTTTTGTTTTCATTAAAAGGGATTTAGACTCCCTTTCATTGTTTCAAAAAGCAAGTGGATTTTTGTCTCTGATTCATCATATGAATACAAGACAGAAATAAGTTGTTTGCTGACTAGTTGGGAAAATTTATGGTTTAACTAAGAGTCCCTTTCTTTATAATTGTAATGAAATTAGAAGAAAAAATAAGCAACTTATAGCACCTGTAAAGCTGGAACTCTTGTTCTTTGTTCCTTGAAGATCTTCATCTTCCTTAGGATATTTCAAGGTGGTGGGAGGAACCCTGAACCCACCTCTAATTTAATTGGTTTGATTTAAAAGAAAATGTAGGGTGTTTTTATCTATAATATTGCTCCGTACATCTGCATGACCTTTCCACACTCAAAGATGCATATCAAATCATTAAGATTGTGGCCTAGAGGTTAGGTGGTATTTGCTCGCATTACTAAGTGTTTAGATTTGTATTGAATCAGCTTCACGAGTTACTCTCAGGTGTCATATGCATGAAAATTAGATGATGCTAACTGGTAATTGGTTACTTTGTTATTGATAATGCTTGGTGGTAAATAAAATTAAAAATGTTCTTATTGTGCAGGTCAGTGGCCTTCAGAAGGTGTCCTTGCTTACTTTTGCATGTCACATGCAGAATTATTCAGGTCAGTGAGGTAGTGTTATCTTGTTTCAGTTTGCTCTTGTCAAGAAGTTGTTCGCTTGTAACTGACTAGGGATGTCGTTTTGCAGTTCAGTTTCATCAATTGCACTAGCACTTTTTATGTTTAAATTAAAGTGTCCTTTCTTTAATGTTCCAGGTCTAAACGAATAATTGAGCTTGGATCAGGATATGGATTAGCTGGAATAGTTATTGCTGCTGCCACTGAGGCATTACAAGTTACAATCTCAGATGGAAATCCTCAAGTAGTTGATTGTATCCTTTTGGGTTTGTCAAGAAAATTAATATGTAAAGAAAATAAATTATTTTTGTCTTACATATGGCATAACATAGAATTTGTCATAATTAAATATTGATTAGTCAAACACTTTCTTTGTGACTTCCATGTTTGTTGATTGATTATCTAGCAAAGTGAAGTTTTTTCAAATGAAAAACTGTGCTACTTCATAGTAGACTGCAGAGTCTTGTTAACAGGTAATGACCAGGCCTAAGACGTGGAAGGTATGATTTGTGTGGAAGAGTAATATTGAAGCAAATTTCAGTTTTCATTTAAGTTCTGATGGATGCAGAACTTATTTCTGACATCACAGAATTATGATGATGAGAGCTTCCCTCAATATTAGGTCTTCCTTGTCATGATTCTGAGTTGATTAGTTTAGCCTCATACAGTAGCCACTCTATGATTGCCTTGAATTAAGTAACTTCACCCAATTGTTTTGATGGATGCAGGAATTATTTTTATGTTGCTTAATTATGCTGACGGAATACATCCTTAATTTTCATCATTATTTTATATCATGATTCTTGGTTGCTTTTGCTGGGGTATGTAGACACTCATGATTGTTATGGGATTTCCTTACCTGGAATCGCCCTTTCATTTCTTTCTGGTATTTTGTGCGGATTCATATTGGAGGTTCTTAACATTCAGATATTCAGCATAATATAAATGTCAATTCTGGGGCCTTTGGTGCCACAAGAGTGATGGCAATGACATTGCACTGGAATCAGGAAGAAATTTCAAATATCTCTAACAGTTTTGATGTCATTGTGGCAAGTGACTGGTAATTCCTATTCTGTCTTCATGTCCATCTTAGAACTGACATCTATCATGCTTGTACTTTCTGCTAAGATATGAAAAGAAAGAGGGTCACTGAGCACTATGAAGCAGTATTTCTTACCATGGAATATGCTGCAAGTGCTTCATTATTGTCAATGGGATACTTCTATTATTGCATAAAGAAAGGTTATGGTTTATATGGCACTTAAACAATCATTACGTGTAAGTGCTAATCTTAACAGATCTAATCATTGCATGTAAGCAGCTATTCACATCCCCATATTTATCTTTTGCTGAACCTTGTTTCTTTTGCATTCAACATTTTGGCAACCGAATTAATTAGATGTTTGGGTGATCAAAAATCATCTTTAACCCAAAGTTTTTAGTGGCGGAAGATGTCTAGGTATCTATGTCTCTTCATTGGTTGACAGAGGGCACTTGCGCCGTTTCCTTAAAGCATGAATGTTCACATGCAGGCACATGATGATGTGATTTTCTTACTGTTATGATAATTTTTTCTTTTTGGTTTGTTTTGCTGAAATTGGCGGGTCATATCCACAGCATATTTTTCAAGGAATTTCACAAAAGCCTTGCTAGAATCATCAAAATCTTGCTGAAAGATGCGGGACCCTCTGAAGCCATATTTTTCAGCCCCAAAAGAGGTGACTCATTAGACAAGTTTCTTGTAGAAGCTAAAGAAAATGGGTTGCGGGTCAGTATAACAGAGCTCTATGACGTGGAAATTTGGAGGCGTCATGAGGGTTTCATGAACGGTGATGACTCCTGGCCCAGCTATGAGAAGGATCACTGTTACCCTTTATTAATCAGAATTACGCGGTGACCCTTTGGTGGCTCTTATCTCTTTAATCATCTGCAAGTAACTGAAGTATACAGATTTCACATCTGGGAGATCTTTCGTTTACTATTCACCTTGGGAGGAAACTTGAGATTGAATGAAAATCTGGAGCAACTTGATATCTCAACAAAACTATCATAGCTTGCATTATGTTTACTATTAAATTCATTAAAAATGTAATTTGAAATGTGCATTTAATGAATTTAAGGGTAAAGAGATATACAAATTATGATGACTTGATACTATCTATAAGATTTGATTATCGAGCAGCCAATATAAATGGCTGGCAGGAACGATTGACTAGCCTTAGTTCCATAACATAGAAATTCTCATGTACAGAAATGCCCTGGATACTCTTGTAAAGCTTCTCTCTGTTGGCAGTACCAATACGTAATGTAGGTCCTGCCGATCAGTGGTTGCTTTCTCTGATTGATCTAAATTTATTCTTGATTTCCTTTTGGAGTTAATATAAGTGAGTGCACTGCAACTTTTTTAAGAAGATTCCTTATCTTCCTTACAGCATCAAAGCTTTTAGACATCACTCATCAGTAAACAAAGACTCTAGACCTAAAGGATGATGCAGAACAACGTCAAAAGCTATCTGATTCTCCGTGGATAGACTAAACTAGCATTTTAATTTTGTCAGTAGAAAATCTGCTATATGCTTTTCATTTTTTATCTCCTGGTTACGAACGTGTGCTGTCTGCAACTTCAACTTCAAGGAACTGACAATGGCTTCCGCTTGAATTCTTATCCGACAGAAACCAAACTGCATTCTCGCAGCAATTTGGTTCCACAATTTTTTCGCAGGCCTCTTCAAGATTATGCAGACTTTTCTTGAAATAGATTTGATTTGGTTATGGTTTAACCGAGTAAAGACGTAATTTTGAGTCTTTAAAAAATTGATAGTTCTTTATTCGTAACAGTTTGATAATTTTCTACTTACACGAAAAGTTATAGATTTAAATCGAATTATGTGTCTTTATCAGAATGTTATTATTATTATTAGATACACAATTTTTGCCAAGATTAGTCAAAATTCTCTTTTCGATTTACCCTTCACATCATATATAACAGCAATACATTTCATTTCTATATTTCTTCTGCAAGTATACTCCATTCACATCTCTCTTTTCATCAGTACCCCCCCCCCCCCCCAAAAAAAAGCACTGAAAATGAACAGCAATCATCTCTTATCTCTAAAGAAGAAAGTGGCTAGCCCCCACACAAGTTGGTGAAGAATCAATTTTCATTATGCATTACCTTGATAATAATTATTTTTTAAAATCATATTATTAAAAAAAAAAAATCACCAGTTATTTTTTTTTAAAAAAAAAAAAATCAAATAACCCAAAATAAAAAAAAAAAAATTTTTAAAGTAATGTGATTAGAAATAGAATCTGATAGGGTCGGCAATTTGGAAGTTTTCCTTTGTTGGCTTATTTGGCTTTGTTTCATTCTCTAATAAACAGTGATGTGCAGCATAACATTTTCTTAGACATCTCAATCCAACCTTTCACATGTTATGTACATTTCGATTGTCACACACCACCCAACTCATCATATTCTTTTTCTCCTTCACTCATAATTCATGCTTTTTTTGTGCATGTAAAATTGACCACAACATTTTCTGTTTGGGAAGAGAAATCATGAAATTGTTAAGTGATAATTTTGAAAACGAAAATCGGCTTCTCTTTTATAAATGAAAATAAAGGAGGATTCGTTTTTATCCATTCACATTTCAAAAACATCTTCTTCCCCAAATTTAAAAGAGAATGAAACGAATTGGGCGATTGACTTTTTTTTTTTTCAAAAAATATTTATTCATCTATTAATCAGTTGATACATAAACATCAATTATAATATAATAAAAATAATTTACAAATAAAACGGAATAAATAATTTTTTATAAATAAATGAATATATTAACTATTTAAAATATATATATTTTAAAAAATATAATTTTATTTTTATTATATTCATAATTTTCTCTCTCTATTCGTATGAAAATAAAAATTAAAAAAATATATATTTAAATACATATAACAGTAGTACAAGCTACTGTTTGTTCTGAACTCACATCCCAAATTTCTTACCTTTGCTAAAATTTTTAAGCTATTATTTTATAGTTTATTTTTTATAATTTAAAAAAAAAATTCGATCAATTCTACTTAATCAAATTTATACGTAAACGATTGTTGATTCATAATATACTCATAAAATAATAATTGTATCTTTATTGATATTTATAAAATTATAATAATTTTAATTATTAAAATACAGTGTTGTTGGTAATTAAATAATATAATTTCTATAAAATATTAATCTTGTCTTTATTATCAAATGTTGTTAATAATAAAATTTATAAGGGTTAATTAATTCCTGCATTTATTATTATTATTAGTTTATAGAAAATGTGCATGATGTTAAAAATTATTAATATAAAATTAAGAATAAACAAAATTAATTAAATAAAACACAAGAATAAAGTACACGTACGTATATACTAGGTGCTTGGCTGTAGTGCATACTATAGTCTCATGCTTCAGTTTGAATGTATTATGAGAAGTGCAAATTATTTATTAGAAAAACATGAAAGTAAATTAATCTTAATCTCAGTAAATTTATTATATATTTAGATAAAAAACAAGGATTAAATTTTCTTAATTAAAATAATTATAACAGTTTATAAATTTAATCTAATTTTTTTATAAAAAAAAAAAAAAGAAAAGAAAAGACATATAATCATATCATTTTGGACTTTTTTATAAGCAAATTTCGTCAAAAGATTAGTTCATTTGATTTGACTTGATTGGCTGATATCCCTTTGGCATATATAATATATATATATATACATATATGATAACTAAATAGCCCACGAGTATCATTTCTCTAATCTCTATCTTGATAATTATCTTCTTCTTAATTACGTTTTTCTCAATAAACTAAATTATTAATGCATCTTAATTTGTATGTATGTATTAACTTCATTTCTTTTTTAAACAATTGACAGAAATTTGGGTTTTTCTGATTTTTTAGGAAAATTGTTAATGAAGACATAATTTTAATTTTTAAATGCAAATTAATATTATAGTTAATTGTTAGTGGTTTTTGTTGATTTATATATATATATATATAGACAAAGAATTCTAAAAATAAAAATAATAATAACCATACATTAATATTCTCTTAAAAAAATTTAAAAAATCATAGATGAATTTGATATTTGTTTTCTAGAGTAAATTATTGAATATTTAATTTTTAATACTGTTTTTTTTTTATAAAAAAAATGATTTATTTATCTATTTAAAATGCTTAATTTTTTTATTTTTTAACAAAATAAATTGAAATAGTTACATTATATTTATATATTTTAAAAAATATCTTAAGATAATAACTTTAAATAATTAATTAAACTAATAGATTAACAAATTAATACTAATGCTCTTATTATTTTTTTAGTATTATTAATTTAATTAATTAATCAAAGTTAATTTTTTGTTAAAAATGTAAATATATATATATATTAAAAATTAAATTATAATAGTGAAAAATATGTTATGAATTTAATTATAGTAAGAGTAAAATTTCAGAGTCTAATTTAATAATTTATTTATATTTTTATGGTAAATATTGCAAATGATTTTTTATTGAAGTAAATATCCAACTCCACATATCTTTTCACCTGAAAATATCTTGTCCGCCCCGAAAAAAATCTGCATGCAACTATTTTCTAAACCGCCAAACAGACGTAAAACACAAAGACGAATACATTCTCGATTGGTTGAAAATATTTTCTTCTGTATCACGCTAGTAGAAAATGGTCCACTTTCCCATCATTTTCTCTCCTTCCAAACAGAATTTTATTCTTCAGAAAAGCAAAGAGGGAATTGTCATCTCTAATTTTTACCCCGACCGATCGAAGTCACCCTTGCCAAACTAGCCTTCCACCTACCATTCACCATTTTTTACTTTTAACTTTGGTTTTTTTTTTTACACTCCGTAAATTTGTCAATTACTTGTTTTCTTATTTTAAATTTCTTTTAAATTGCAAATACAATAACCTCAACTCGGATTCACGTCAAAAGCATTCACTTTCCTCCCATTTATTTTTAATGCTTCCTCGAAAAACCATGGCCTCAAGTTTCACGAAGCCCTCTACTTTTTGTATGTAGATATATACACACGCCTACAGACATACACATATATACGTGTGAGAGTGTGCATGTGTATATAATATATATATACACACACACACACACTATTACTAGAGGAATAACCACTGAAAATTGTATAAGAAGAAGCCAAATGTGTTTAATCCTGCACCGGCATGCTTTAGCCTTTAAACATACAGAGTTCATGATCCGTATACAGTAACATCAAATATGTAGAATCTGGAAAGTGGGTGTTCTACAATCTGGGTTTGATTAATTTTAATTCCTTCACTGTATCGGCCACCCAAGAGTTTCTGGCTCTCGCAGTTAGATGCTCTGTTTTTGTTTTTCTCAGTCTTGGATATATCAATTTTAATGGTGGCTGTAAACTGGACTACAAGTTCAAAATGAAGATAATGGCGGAAATGGCTAAGACTAAAGCATGTTGGAGAAGATAACTTGGGGAGCTTCTTGTTGAATCTCCAATGGCCAAGTTGGCTAACCATGAACTTGCAAATGAAGCAGCCTCTACCGGCTCCGAATCCGACTCGGATTCTGACCCTGAACCTGAACCTGACTCATCAGTGTTGGGAAAGGAATCTCTTGAAGACTTTAAACTGTACAGAAACAGAATAATATCAGTCTTTTTCCCCCTTTTTTTTTTTGTAGAATCAAAGAGACGAAATTGTTGATTTACGCCAAAAAAATTCAGGGACCCAGAGAAATTAGGCAAATTTAAGAAGGACCCAGATGAGAAAATTGATCAAAGAAATGGAATTTTACCTGGGAGAATTGGGGCAAAATGTGATGGTGTAATCAGCACCAGTACATGTAAAAGTGCTTGTTTCGTCATCATAGGCATAGCTGTATGATTTTGGACATGCCGACTTGAAAACCTGCGAGTACATAGACGGCTTACAAGTTGCCGGAGAGTTAAACTCGCCGCTGCAACAGTATTCCGGCTTTCCAAAAGCCTCGCAGGCGCTCCTGCAAACGGCACCGCCCTCTCCCCGGAGCTCAGACGGGCATTTCCTGTTGAGGTCACTGACGCATCCAGTGGTCCCGCAGGTGCCCGAACCACCGCTACCTTCGACTATCATGGGCAGATTGTAGCCGTCGACAAGGCTGACATCGTAGAAGTCTTGTGATCCGGAGCCGAGGGTGAACTCGGCAAGAGTGGCGGGCGGGGTAGCGCCGGCTCCGTTGCACTCCATCTGACCGGAGCCGCAATCTCCAGTGGCGCATGAGCCGTGGCCGGAGCTATCGAAGTTACAGTTAGTTCGGCCCCAGAAGCGACCTGACCAGCCCGTTGGAGCTTGAAAGGACCGAGAGCTGCCCTTGGCAAGCTGAAAGCCTGTGCTATCTAGCTTCGGGCTACCAGCACTGGATAAAATCCCCGGCCATACCGTAAAGTCACATCTGTTCACGAATGTGAATGTAGCACCATTAACGCCTGCAACCAAAAACCAAACAAACAAATAAATAAACAGAAAAAGGAAAAAAAGAAAAACAGAGTTAGGTGAATTTCGGAAGATATTGCAAAAAATGAGAGAGACCCAGATAAGGAAATTGAAAAAAAAAAGCACACACACAAACACAGAGCTACTGTAAGCATTCTTCACCTTGGAAGACGAAGAGGAGAGTGAAGCTCAGAGCACAAGAATGGGGGAAGGAAGATAACAGAGCCATGAGAATTCCTCTGTTTAGTTTCTCTTATTTGGCAAAAGAATTGACCTTTCAACTTCAATAAACTTACTAATAAATCTTTACCAACTTCAAGTTAGAAATTTATTTCAGACTAACGAATGAAATAACTAGAATTGGTAATGGTGGTAAGTTTCTGGGTGTAACCAAATAAAGAATAAGAAGAAAAAGAATAGTAGAGAAGGCACAGCTTTTTCAGTTGCTGCTATGGCAGAGACCAGACAGAGAGGAAGAATGAAGAAGAAGATGGTGATGAGGATTAATCACCACTAAGAAAATTCCACAAATTTCCCTGCTTAAATTTTGATAATCTCCATATTCTTCCTCTTCTTCCTTAACAAAAAAGAGTGGAGAAAGAAGGATTGGGCAGCAAGGCCTGAGCGGTACTGGAGAATCTTTAATCATTCAACTCCCCATGTCTATTTATAAACAATTATTATTACCTTCGGCATTAAAACGACCACCTTTAACGTCGGTTCGTGTTAAGTTCTTTTGGCTGTTTGGGAAAATTACTTTTAAATTAATTAATTAATTAATAATAATAAAGATTAAAGCTTAAAGAAAATAAAATAAATTTCTGATTTTCTGTGGAATTGTTAGCTGGAGTCTTTTTTTTAAGCGATTACGTGGAGCCCAACTATTCGCCAGACCTCTACATTGTCAACAACCGTCCATCATCTTTCATTGGAACAACAAAGAAAAATGTAACTACCTGACAAATTTGACGCCTTGTGGTGGCACAGTACTCCTCCAATCTAATTATAAAAATCATTTTCCTAGAGATTAAAAAAAAAAAAAACATTTAAAAATTAAATATATATTTAGACAAAAATTAAACTTTCAGCTTCTAATTTTGTAACTTAATATTTTTTATATTTTATTTGACCACTACCACATAATATTTAATTCAAAAAAACTAGAGATTTAATTTAATAAATAATGTTTAAATTTTGCGAAAAAAAAAAATCTATTTTTTTTATAACAGATGAATTCTCAATTAATTACAATATATTAAAAGTACAACATAATTTTTTTAATTTAAAAAAAAAAGTAGATAAGAGACACGTGACTAATGTGGGCTCCACGTTTCCACCAACGGTTACTGCGGTCTCGTATTCTGTCGGAGCAAAATGCGGTCATCATAATTAGCGAAGTCCAAATGAGTATTCATCAACATAAATAGATAATTATTAATTATAATCTGGATTAATTTTTACGTGTATAATAAATAATCTTACCAAATTAACCGACCGTTAGTCAGCGCCCGAGTCAAACCTGGTCGATTAGTTGACGGCGTTATCTATGATGCCGTAAGCGGGAAGTGGGGTTGGTGAGTCGGCAATTCCATTTTGGCACATGATTAATATTTGCTTGAAAGCAAGAACCAAATCCCATGTACTTCACAATGTCATCAACAAATTAAAATCTTTTTATATTAGCTGTTAAAAATAATTATGGGCATATTTGAATGATTTAAAAATTAATTTAATAAAAATATTAATTTAATTAATTTGATTATTAAATTAAATTCATAAAGTAATAATTATTATTATTATCATTATTATCATTTTATTAATTTAGTTAATTAATTAACATTATTTTTTTAAATATGCAAACGTGATTTAAATTAAAAAACTAAATATTTAAAATAAAAAATATTAAAAATTAAATTATAATTAGCATTAAATTTTTTGGACTAACTTACTAGTTTATTTAAAAATTACACATGTTGGTTACTCATTCGATAAATATAAACTTCTACAAAAATAGAATTATATATGATCTATACATGGTTAAATTTACCATTAGATTCAAATATATATATATTTAATTGAAATAATTTATTTTTTTCTTCTTTTTTTTTGGTATTTTTGGTCCAATTGATGCAAGATTTATTCTAAATAATGCTATGTTTGTAGCCAATTAATATATTGTCGAGAATATTGCAAACATTTTTCTCACTTGTATTTGCATGCATGCATTTCCTTCCCCTTCTATAAAAATAAAATTGAATAAACACACACACACACACATATACATATATATATATACAAGTAGTCTTGTCAAAAAAGAATAAAATTTACTTTAAAATAAAAGCTAAAGATATATAAAGTGGGTTTTTTTTTTTATAATTTTTTTATTTCATGATTCTCTTGATGCTTCGATCCCTAAAATTACAAAGTCTTTAAAAGAAAGCAATAAGATAGACTACCCTAGAATCAAAGAATATATAAAGCATATTTTATTTATTAACTAAAGACAATTTTCTTTTACTCTTAATATTACAATCAAATTTTCAACCAATCAAGAGCTAACACACATGTTAATCATTGAAATATAATTAAAGTAGCTAATCCACCATTATGTGCTTAAGACGATTAATGCCCTAAAAGACATTCAAATTCAATGCAAAGCAATGCCACTTCTACCAACTTAACACAATAATAAAGGAAATGACAATATATATATATATATATTACATATATTTATAATATTCAGTATTACATCGATCAGTGTATTATGTGTCGGGGTATGTGCATGCATTCATACGAACTCATCAGTTGCTAAAAGACAAGAATATGTACGTGCGCAGCCATAACAGTAAAAGAAATCAAAATGGCAGTTCATAAATTTTTAGTCATTGAGAGGTGTACTGTGTATATATGTAGAGAGAGAGAGAGAGAGAGAGATATGCTCTTCTTTTCAAGTCTAAAGTGAAAGAAAATAAAGAGAGGGGTCAAAGCAACTTTAATCACCAGATTATAAACAAACCAAGAAAGGAAAAGATAGATACATCACCTGTGAGTGGATGCACACATACATACGTAGTTAATTATATAGAAAACAATATAACATGCATTTATATATGAAGACAATATTTTTTGGTGAAGTGAGAAAAATGACTAGTTTCCTAAGCAAAACAAACTTAAACTCACAATTGTATACCATATCTCTGTATAGTCAAACTCAGTCATATATAAATACGCGTGTGTGTGTGTGTGTGTGTCTGTAATTTCTTGCTGGTCTTGTCAAATCCAGTCATATATATATATATATATATATATAGTTGTCTGCGTAGGTAGGCTACAAATATATGGACGTATGTATATGAATTTGCTTGGTCAACACACATCATTTTGCATGAGAAGCTTCAAAAATGTATATTGCGGGGGAACGAAAAGGTAAAAAAAAAAGTTAATAACTTTATAATCTTTTAAAGAAAAGAAATGCAGAGATGCATGGAGGAGATATGGGATGAGCTTGGTGCAACTTCTAAACAAGTTCGTTGGTCTTCGTCTCTCTTGCTTTTCCCACACTGTTTGTATATCAATCGATTCTATCATTTCATCTTTTTTGAAAGTGGGACATAATCTACTCCTCATTTTTCTTTATTTAGCTATTGTTTTTCATTGGATTGTCCATCAATTTTTTTTTTCTTTTTATAACAAGTTGTCAGATTAATTAAATTTTGTATTTTTATTAAAAGATTATATATATACGTCATCTAATTATTTATCACATTACTTCTGATAAATAATCTAATTCAATCTTTCCATTCACACCGTATATTCGTCTTTTGCTTTAATTCTCTTTTAAAAAATTATTTTATATTTTTAGAATTTAGAAAAAAATAATAATAACTGCCCGAGTTGTCCAAAAGCCTATAAAATTCTTGTGTTATTTACCTTAATTAGTACAAAATTATTTATTAAATAATAAAAAAAAAGTTTCAATAAATAAGTTATTCGTATTTTTAACTCATGGCAACTATTCTAAATAAAAATATATATATAATTATTATAAAATATTTGTATCAAAAATATAATAAACTCGTTAATACTTATTCTAATTTAGTTACTATATACTTTACTAATATATTAGTGAAATAAGTATTCGATTTTATTAAATCAAATATTATAAACTTGTAACGACTCCGGAAATCCAAAAGGAAATATATAATAATTTAAAAGTGGAAGCGAAATAAAATATTAAGGTTTACACCACTTACACAATAACTTAAAAGTACTAAACAAACATCACGAAATGAATTCTCTGAAAGAAACACGAGAAATGAGAAAAGTAAATGAAAATATAAAGTATCTAACATCTACTCACAATCTTCTTGCGGATCGGCATCGGGAACCAGATCCTCTTCATCTGAAATTCTTAAATAAGGAATGAGTTACACTACCAAAATAAGGACATAACACTATATCACCGGCACAGAAACAAAGGTTGATAGAAAATCAAAACTAACCAATGGAACACTAAATTTAGCAAATTCGTTTATCAATCGTAAAATCATTTACAGTTCACTTACCATTGTGGAATTCATGAAAACAACCTATGAAGATAATAACATCATACTGATCATAACTTCATGCACAATAAATAACATAGAACATATCATAAATTCATATTCATTAACAATAACTAAATCTTAACCGTTTTTCATTTCTCCAGCCCAAAAGTATCTATGAGGATTAATAAGGGTGTCACCGCTACACGTGAACCCTTTTCCCTTAACAATCTTAATTATAGAGCTGTCTTCATACCTCATCTGGTATGAGCGTCAAAACATTAAACCTCAATACCCTGTCCGGTATGAGGGTGAAGTGGGCCGTCACCATACCCTATCCGGTATGAGCACCAAATTTCCAAGTCTACATACCCCGTCTGGTATGAGACAACGTTCACAGTAGAGTTCCCTATGAACCCGATACGTCAACCATCTCCTAGGATATCTAGTGAGACTGTCGTATTATCTATTTATTTGATCACACCCCTTTCCTGTTTTTCCTTAGTCTCCGTTACCAAATCAAACATAATCACATAAATAAATGAATATACATCAGGTAATGCAATCATGTCTCAAATCTCAAAATCAAACAGAGATCAAGTAAGACAGTAACACATGCATTTAAACCTCAAAATAGATAAACCAGATATTGTAACGGCCCCAGAAATTAAAATGAAGATGTATGTATTAAAAATTCTAAATGCGGAAGCAAAATAAAAATTTTGATCAACATCTCTTACACAATAACCATAAACATATTTAACGTATGAAAGAATAAGCTAATTAAAAGAAATACACGAAATAAAAAATATAAATAGAACTATAAAATCTTTAGGCGCCTAACTCGCTGTCTTCCTGTTGAACGGGCTCGGGAACCACGTCTTCCTGATCTGAAATGGTTAAGTAAGGAATGAGCTACACTATCTCAGAAAAGACATCACACTATCTCATTACCACAGAAGTAAAGGTTAGTAGAAAACAAAAACGACCAATGAGCACAATTTATAACAAACTCATTTATTAATGATAAAAATTTTTACTATCCATTTACCTTGGTGAGATTTGTGAAAATATCATATGGAGACAATAACATTATAACCATCATTAAA